ATTAGTATAAATTTCATGTTTTTTTATTTAATGTTATAAGCAAACAGTATTGTTTTTAGTGAAATACTATATCTTATTTTGTAATATAAATAAAAAATACCTAAGCTTTATCTAGATTAGATTACTAAGATTTCGTTAATAAAATATTCTATAAAAATATTTCCAATAAAACTAATTTAGAAAACCTTTTCCAAATATGTAGTGCGTTAAGTTTATGTGACAAAAATATTTAAACAAACCATTCAACTATTAATAACATGTGGCGTAACAAATACGATTAAGCCGCCGTTGTCGGAGATCGAACACAGATGTTTGAGGTAAAATTAAAAAGTGCGGTGGATAAAAAGACGGTTTTTGTATTGGCTAAATTCTCTTTATGCCAAAAACCTGAATCCACGGCCCCTCCAACAAATAATGCTAATCATAATGGCATTACATTCATTCGAATTTCGTCAAGTATCTGGGGATCGGGCATGGATTCTCATCATTATTTTTTTGCGACTCACTTCTAACGAATTCCTTATTACAAGACACTAATCTTATCAGAACTTCAATTTAAACTCCTAATTATGTTATTGATTTAATTACTCAGTCATGTTTTTCTTTACTTTGATTAGTGTCTCAATAATTAACTTTTTGTTTAGTGCCATAATGATGTTTGAATTAATAATAAATTAATGAGCCTGGCCCTAATTATGTAATTTATTTATTCACTGCCTCGGTGGTGTAGTGGCTAGCATGTACGGCTGCACACTCGGAGGTCCTGGGTTCGAGTCCCGGGTCGGGCCAAGTTTAGTTATTGAGTCTTTCTGTATAGTAAGTCTCAGTAACAGCCCGGAGTTGGGAAGTTGGCGGTGTTTCACCCTCGTGCCTCGGAGAGCACGTAAAGCCGTCGGTCCTGCGCCTTAACTCTCACTGGTCGTGTCGAGCAGTCGTCCCATCGGAGTAATGAGAGTGACAGGAATAGAGAGTGCACGTTGTGACTGCGCGTACACTTGTGCACTATAATATCTCCTGCGCAGTTGGCTAGTCTCAATGAGATTAGCCGCCGTGGCCGGAATCGGCTAGAAACATCATCATTTATTTATTTGAGGATAATGTAATTTATTTAGAATTTGTATCTTTATAATTAGTAACTTTTTAAAATATACTAATATTCTATGGGAGTTATATAGGATAAGCACTTTTTCCTCAAACTGTCTCTAACTTTGCAATAAGTCACGGCAAAACATTCATTGCATTTCAATTGCTGCATCAATTCAATTCAATTTCAATTTTTAGTTTAGTGGCTTCTAGGAGTGCCGCGTTGACATATTTTACTTCGCCAATGTCGCGTAGAATGGAGACCTTATATATAGAAGGATCTCTAAAAAAAACTCTGGATCTGATTACAATTTAACATTTGAAAACAACAACATATATATTTTTATTATATTAAAAAAAAGTCTGAGGGCGTTATGATTAATTTTTCTTAATTACATACAAACATTGAAAATTTATTTGTTCCAATTTAATGTTTTGACTCTTCTGCATACAGTTAAATCATCATATCGTAATTTTAAAATCCATACTTGTAAATGTAAAAGGGTGTTTGTTTGTTGTTTTTCGAAATTCGTCCCATAAGAGGGTAAAATAAGGGCTGAAATAAAAAAAATAAAGCCTATCTTTTTAGAGATTTTTTTGTAGTTATAGCGCGAGCGTAGCCGCGCGTTCTGCTAGTAAAACATATTACATTCTTCTCTCTTTGGTTCAAAATCATGTCGCATGTTGATATCATTAATAATATAAATCCTTTTAGCTTGCCACAAAACCACCAACAAACGGTGCGCATTTGGTCACAATATCCGAAAAACCCAACAATATGAACTTAATGCTAACTTTACAAACTACACCGAACTGCATAGCCATTAGCACAGCTGATACAAAATATTTTGACGTTTACTGCCAAAAATGTATGGGTCTTTGGGGACTTCGCCTATTAAACCCATAGACAGTAACGGAGTTAGTGGCGTGCTAGGAAGATCGATTCGATTTGAACGTTTTTTTTCGCAATACACAAAAGACCCTATTTATTAATAGATAATGGAATAGCAAAGTAACAGTTGGCAGGAATCGATACAACGTGTAATGTGGTTAGATATGGTGATCAAGTCACATGTTGAATTCATCAGATATAAGCATTGTTGCGTCGTCGCAATATAAATTAAAAGCTTCCGTCTAATTAAAATTTATGTTTAAAATATGTTTTACATCAACCGTTTCATTTATTTATTTCTAAGTATGAGAATAAATAGAAAATGTATATATATATATTACTAAAACTCGTACATTTTTTATAAACAAAAACACTTGTTTTCAGTAAAATTATTTGTATTGTAACTGTACATATTATAATAAATAATAAGTATAATGTTTTGAAATACACCACATGACTTTCGACCATATTCTAAAATATAAATCAAGTCATACGTTTTTGATTAACGATTGTGTATAGACATTAACAAGGGTATTATACTTCGTTTGATTCATAGTTCACATCAAACGATTATTTTGACGGATCCGGAAAAAAATATTTTCTGAGAACAGTACAGGATATACGTGCTATAAAAAGTAGATTAAGCGCTTTCAGTGGTTTCTTGTAGTTCTCTTACCAGAATACGAAGACCTTTAAAACACAATGTAAATATGTACTTGTCAAAATGAGATGATTTTAAGTAGCACTGAAGAAATATTTCTAAATAATACCAGTAGATATTTTACTAATAAAAACATTAAAAATTATTATACATATTAACAATTTTTATTTTTTATATCATAACGTTAGAAGAAGCTATGTCGTTACATAAATCGATGGTTGTAATGTTTAAGTATTGAACTTTTGTGTGTAGTACCTATACCTTTTTACATCTCACCTTTTTATGGAAAAATAGTAAAGTTGATGCAAACATCAATTTTACCATTTTTTTATAGAAATATGCGATTATAAAATATATACAATTATAAAATATGTATTTTAATATTTTTCTATCATATGTCTCAATTATAGTAGACAAACGTATAAAAGAAAGAAGTAAGTAGTCTTTAATAAAAATTCCAAAACATTGCTTTTTTAAAGAGAAATTCACTTACACAGCAAATCATAGTGGCTTTGTAAACTTAATAAATTTCCTGACAATGGTTATTCTGCAATGGGGCGGTTCAAGCAAAGTTGGTGTACAGACGTAGTACGAGTGACTCCGTAATGCTGTGATTTACAGCTTCCTGAACGAGAGGGCGTCTACGCCACCTGACAGCTACTAACGACGCTGTTTAGTGTCCTGTATATATTTTATTTTCTAGTGATGGATCATGATTTATGTTGAATTGAAAACATAATTATTAATTTTTGATGTAAAGTACTATTTTTTAAGATACTCATTGATGTACTAAGTTTCACCGACGCGACGGTCCGACTCTTGTGGTACCCGAGATTAGACTAAAACATACTAGGACTATGCAGAACAGGAAGCTCTACTTTGATTAAATAAGATATGTAGTATATTTTTAATTTAGACTGTACATTAATAACGCCTTGATGCCATTAAAAATTTGCTAATTTGTCGTTAGGAATTAAAAACAAATGATTCGTCTTAAAAATTATATAACACGTTAATGTATTCTAAACAATGTAGCTACAGCTATGGTAGTTATTGTATATTGTTTTAAGAAAATGCAGAACAGTTGTTTTACTTTTAAAGTATTATTAATTCAAAATTAATTGACGTTATAAAACAATAAAACCCACAATTAAGTGGAAGTTAATTATGGTTGTTTACTTGTTTTATTGTCTTGTATTAGAAATTTAAACAGAGTTTTATTTTTGAATAAGTAATAAATAATTATATCATATAAACTAATTTATTCACGATATTTTTTTCTTTATTATAGAAAATTTCCTATGCCTAAAATTAAACGAAATTATAAGAATATAATTTATATAAATTTATCTTTAAGAGCACTTAGTCCATAAAAATGCATAAGCATGAATAAATAAAGTATGTTTTATTCATGCTCAGGGAAATATTTTTTTAACTTTATTCAGTGTGTAAAATGAAGGGCCCTCCCTTTGATTAGTTACCTCTTTGTTTAGCATACCTACTTCTGAGTGCCAATAAAAATCTTTCAAGTTCCCGACAGCATTTACACTCAAGTGCAATCATTGTATGCGCACAATTGTGCTATTTTTCTGATATCTGATTGACATTTTTTCCAATAATATTTGAAATACCATTGTGGTTATAAAAAATCTTTGAGGGGTTAAGCGAAAATTATAAGCATCAATAGAGGTTAACAGTTCAAAGCTTTAAGTGCTTTAGTTGAGGGTGGAATAAAGAGTGCGTCGTCATAAATTTTTAAAACATTTTCTTAATAAGATATACACACCTTATAAAGTTTTAAAGTAATTGATTATATTATGTTCTATAATACTTAAGCATATTATCGTTAACGTAAAGAAAAAATATATCGAATACGTTAAAAATATTTTAAACTTAAGCTACGTAATCGCGGTGAGAATTGTGAGAGTACGTAAACCTTTAAGCAGTGATTTCACCGGCATTTGACTAATTACAGATAAGACATTATCACAAATACCAGTGAATGTGTCATTTTTACAGGTAACTTGAAATATCGAACAAAAGACAAGCAGGAAGCTATTAATCCTTACACATTTATTTTATCAGTGTGAATAGGTTATTGATAAAAATAAGTAATAAGTACAAAAATACAAATTATTAATTGTAACAAATTATGAAGTCTCAAGTACTTATCTTTTTTATATTTGATAATACTATACAAAGCATCTTTAAACCTTTCAAACTCTAGGCCTAGAGACAAAAACTAATTAAATAACATACCAAAGGTATAATTAGTATCGAGTATGCTATTGAAAGTTTACGATTAAGTAAAACAAACAAAGTAAGAAGTATGTTTATAAAAGCTCGCGAAGCGCGCTCCTGTTCATGCTAATCTTGCGGCGAGCAACTTGTTGCCGCTGTGAACTTTTGAAGGGAAAGAGGCAGCGATATCGGATTTCCTCGTCATGGGAGGAGCGAGAGCGGGGAGCGGCGCCGGCCGGCCGTCGCTCAACGCGCCTCACGCACGCCGTTACTCAGTCGCTTCTCACACTTCGTCGCGAGCAGTCTGTAGCGCCCTGCAGAGCGCGGATTGCCCGTTATGTGTCGTACATCGAAACAAGTTTGACAGGAAATTCGTAAAGTTTTCCGAGTGCATCCGGACTAGCAATGTGCGTGTACATAACGAACATATTAGTGACGTATTGAATAGTGACAGTTTTAAGTTAGTTTTTCGAAATGTTTTCTATTGGATTATTGACTCTGTACGCTTGGAGTTGGATGTATCTAAGTGCCAGTGGGGCGTCGTTGACGAGTCGAGTGGCGGAGGCGCCGCAGGAGTGCGAGTGGCAGCGAGTGTCGGGTGGCGCAGGTGAACCCACGCGAGTGCAGCTCGCGTGCGCACTGCGGACCGCCGCAGGCGCAACCGATCTCCTCGCCGGCCTTAGCATCTCGCAGGCGCAGTTAATCACTTCGCTGGATCTTCACTGTACAGATGTACTTTTTTTTGAGAGTTCTCTCGATGTTGGCAGGAGAAAAGAAGAAGGCATGGAACTTCTGTCAAGATTTCATAACTTAAGGGAAATGAGAATTGAATCTTGTAAGATACGATATGTGCCGTCGGCTGTGTTATCACCGCTTAGTGGATTACGGAGTTTAACTATTCGTACTCATAACACGGATTGGTCTGCAATGTCAATGGAATTTCATCGCGATTCTTTCCGTGGGCTTACTGATTTGAGAAATTTGGACTTAGGGGATAATAATATATGGATATTACCATCAGAAATATTTTGCCCGCTTTATAATTTAAAAGAACTTAATATTACGCAAAACAGACTACAAGATATATCTAACTTGGGATTCTCAGACTGGGGTAATGGCCCTACTGCACCCGGGAAATCTTGTAATACTGTGTTGGAGACATTAGATATGTCGTATAATGAAATAAGTGCATTACCCGATAATGGGCTCTCAAGTTTACGTGCGCTTCAAAAATTATTTTTACAAAACAATAGGATATCATCTGTGGCCGACCGTGCTTTTGTGGGACTAAGTGATTTACAAATTCTTAATTTATCTACAAATGCTCTAACGGCGTTACCACCTGAAATGTTTCAATCTTCGCGAGATATTAAGCAAATTTATTTAAACAATAATTCTTTAAGTGTACTTGCACCTGGATTATTAGAAGGATTGGATCAACTGCAAATATTAGACTTATCATCTAATGAATTGACAAGTGAATGGGTTAACAGAGATACATTTTCTGGTTTAGTTCGTCTTATAGTTTTAAATCTATCACACAACAGAATAATAAAGATAGATGCTCTACTTTTTCAAGATTTAAATAATCTTCAATTTTTGAGTCTTGAATTTAATAACATTGCAAGAATAGCAGACGGCGCATTTACAAATTTGAAAAACCTTCATTCTCTGTCTTTAGCTCATAACAATATTATAGAAGTGGATAGTAGCCACTTTTCAAACTTATATGTACTGAATCAGCTGTTTCTTGATGGAAATAGAATAACGAGAGTCGATTTACGTTCTTTTGAGAATATTACAAAACTTCATGATTTAGGATTGAGTGGAAATCAACTAACAGAGGTACCTGAAGCAATAAAAACATTACGATTTTTAACATCTTTAGATTTGGGTATGAACAAAATTACAAAAGTAACAACAACACAATTCGAAGGGTTGGATGACTTGTATGGCCTTCGTCTTGTTGGAAACAAAATACAAAAAATTTCTAAAGACACATTTTCTGCTTTACCGTCACTCCAAATATTAAATTTAGCTTTAAATAATATAGACCAAATAGATGATGGAGCTTTTGCGTCTAATCAACAACTAAAAGCTATTGGTTTAGATGGAAATAAATTAGTCGACCTAAAAGGTATATTTACAAATACACAACCACTTGTATGGTTGAACGTATCTAATAATGAGTTACTTTGGTTTGATTACAGTAACATACCAACAAACATTGAATGGTTAGATATGCATGACAACAAAATTGAGAAACTGGAAGATACATTCGGTGTAAAAGAAACTTGTAATGTCAAAATGCTTGATGTAAGCAATAATAAATTAAAAAATATTGATGAATTCTCTTTTCCTAGCAGTATTGAGACTATAGTATTAAATAATAATCAAATTGATAAAGTCAATCCTGGCACATTCCTTCAAAAGTATAATTTGAATAAGGTAATTCTTTATTCTAACAAAATAAAAACTTTGGATGTGGGCGCATTCGCAATATCATCTATGCCACAAGATAAAGACTTACCAGAGTTATATATAAGCGAAAACCCATTTGAATGTGATTGCACAATGGAATGGTTGCAAAGAATTAACCAATTAAGTAACCAAAGACAGCGACCCAGGGTAATGGATTTAGAAAGCGTAAGGTGTTCTTTGACACATTCACGAAGCAATACTGAAATGCTTCTTTTAGAGGTTAAATCTGCTGAATTCTTATGCGAATATGAATCTCATTGCTTTACTCTCTGCCATTGTTGTGATTTTGATGCCTGCGACTGCAAGATGACATGCCCAGATAAGTGTTCGTGCTATCATGATCTCACCTGGAACTCCAACGTTGTCGATTGTTCCAATGCCGGTTACGATCACGTGCCAGAACGAATACCGATGGACGCGACTGAAATCTATTTAGACGGAAACGATCTAAAAGAATTAGGAAATCACGTATTTCTCGGTAAAAAAAGATTACAAGTTTTATATCTTAACAACAGTGATATCCATACAATACAAAACAGAACGTTTAACGGAATCGAATCTTTGAGAATTCTCCACTTAGAAAACAACAACTTGGAATCGTTAAGAAATACTCAGTTTATGACGCTTCCAAATCTCAACGAGCTCTACTTACAAGATAATAAAATAAGAGTGATAGAAAATGATACTTTCAATTACTTATTATCTCTAGAATTTTTAAATCTTGACAATAACGGATATGTTGATTATATGCCATGGAGGGCTATGACGGACAATAACCCACGTACGCGTGTATCTGTTGAGGGAAACAATTGGATATGTGATTGTAAGGATATAACGCAATTAAATCAATGGTTGATAAAAAAATTAAAAGACACCGAAAATATGATGTGTTTTTCCGCCAATGGCCAACCAATGAATAAAACTATAGCGGCCGTGACTATGGAATGTAAGACGGACATAACTACAGAGGAAACCGGGACTGAGACTTTGAAAAGGCTTGTGGTAGAAACGAACAACGAATTCGAAAACTATATTCCGTATATCATAGGGGTATTAGTAGTAGTGATAATTGTCGTTTTACTTATGGCTGCGTTATATTGCACGTTTCAAGAAGACATTCAATTGTGGATGCATTCAAGGTACCGTAAAAGAGTATTTAGCTCTACACCGAAAGATCTCAATGATAATAAAAACAAACGGTTCGACGCTTTCTTTGTGTACAATGCACGAGACGAAGACTTTGTCACGCGCGCAGTTGGTTCTAAACTTGAAAACTCTGGACATATTTTGTGTTTACAACATAGGGACTTACAATTGATAGAAAGACGCTCTAGTGAAAGTTTAGTTAGCGCAGTTGAGTGTTCAAAAAGACTAGTGATAGTGTTATCGTCACATTTTTTACAACAAGAATGGTACGCGCCTGAATCGCAAGCGGCCGTGCAAAGTGCTATAAACTCTGTGAACGTTAAACATAGACGCCAAAAAATAATATTTCTTGTAAAGACTGACCTCAGTGCCATAAATGTCGATCCTGACCTAAAATGTTTGCTTAAAACGTGTAATGTCATAGTGTGGGGTGAGAAAAAGTGTTGGGAAAAACTAGAGTTTCGGTTGCCTGACGTAGACGTTACGTCGCCTAATCGGACGTTTCATAATGCGAATAATATGAAAACTAGTAACAGGGAGGGGTTTGGGAGGCATGGGAACATGAGGTACACAGCGCCCCCGACTTCCCACGATCCTTGGTATAAGTATGGGATGGCTCCTCCAAACTTAATGATGCCGAGTCCAATGCATTCGACAAGTGCGAGTGCAGAAGTGTCAGCGCGCAGTACAGAGGACGAGACGTGCTCGGTGGCTAGTAGCGAAGGGCGCCCAGACGACCGGTTGCCGCACCACCATAGTTATGTCTCTATAGACAACCACCAGTGTGAAGAGCGGCCCCTTAGGCCCGCTCAACAAATACCTATGTCAAATACACGACCCACTAATGTGAGAAAGACTTATTTTGTGTAAATTTTAGGAAATGTGATTTATTATAATTGTAAATATAAAATTGTATAATATTTCTAACATTGTCTTTTCGAATTTTAATATTGAGTATGAGATGTAATTTGGTGCTGAAAGCTAAGAAATAAATATATTAATGTTATAAGGTCGTCTGCAACCTTTGTTACTCTATGTTGTACTCGATTACACGTACTACAAGTACCTTGTCACTGCATTAATAAGCTAATAGTATTTGATTGCATTTAAATAATGAATGTACCTGTTTATCATGACAGTCACCATATAAGCTGCTGTTACAAAATAAAACATTCCTTTATATATATATAACATCCAATATTTCTAAGTTTGTAAGGTTCCTGAATGTCTTGTAGAATATGACAATTTGTGATAATTTAGGTACTTATGTTTAACCCTAATCATTGAAGTGAGAGGTGTAAAATATAACAAAACCTTGTACATTTAAGTAAGTATAAATATCAAATTAAATCTGTCGAAGAACTGAACATGTACCCTAGTCAATTGTAAATAGCTATTCTGTAAATTATAAGTATGTAATATGTGATGTAATTATTAGTTTAAGAATAAAACAACGTATTTATTACGCTTCCAAAATGCAAATTATAAATAAATTAATATTTTGTCTAACTTATGATTTTTAGTTAATATCCTATATAGTTTTAATGGCTTTATAACAAAAAACTTGTTGACTGTTATTTCTTTTTGTTTAACATAGCGTCATCGCTATATAGTTATTATAAACTAGTATCTCAAATCAGAGTGATTGAATAGGCGAAAGTAAAAAAATCCCGTCATAATCAATTTAACGAATAGCTTTATTCGCTCATCCACATTCGAATGTATAAATATTTATTTTATCTAAATTGATCAAGCGGGATAAGATCGCAGCGTGGCCGTTGATATTTAGGCTGACCACAAACATAACTTCATTCACACTTGAAAGATTACATAATATTCACTGAGTCATAATATATTACTTTAAAAGATTTAAATGTTAAAGATTATTATAAACTAAAACTAACATGAATTCTAACTAAAATTATCGTTTATTTATATCAATTAATCCTGAGCAATGAATATTAAAAGTTAAATTTTATCAATTAAGGTATGAACAGGTACTTAATTTTTAAAGCGCTCAAAGCTGCGCTCGCGCCGAGTGCCCGCTGCGAAACTATAAATCATCATTGGACCACGGGGATGAATAAATACCGCTGTAATTGACTTTTGATTGCACTTCGATGTCTCTCCTTATTTAACTAGTTAAAGCAGAGCAATTGATTTTGTAGAACAATACATCATTGTCATAACTTATCTACATTATTTCATTACATGAATAAATTTTCTTATCTTTTATAGGTAGGCACATAGTTTAATTTTGATAAATGTGTATTGCTCAATATTTTATGTATAACGGTATGTTTTAGGATTATTTTTTATTGATATATTATATAAAACGCAAACAAAATAAACTTAATACGCGTTTTTAAATGTGAATGTTGCCTAAATCCAACGATAGCGCCTACTTTTAAAATAATTGCTTGAATAAAGGTATAGTTATTATTTTTTAGTGAATGAATAAATAAGTATTTTGTTGATAAAATTAAATTCGTTTATACTTAAATGTCAACAATCTTGTCAATTATATCAACTTGTAAAAAATTGTGAAAACGAACAAAACATGTCTCTAAAAGACTAAAAGCTTTATATATGCACTAGCATTGTCCACGGCCCCGCCCGCGTTCAGATTACCAAAAACCAAATTCTTATGTTTTACATATTAGTATACCCTTACAATGCAGTTTTTATATTTTTTCTCAGAAATGAGATATTTTCCCGCGGTAAAAAGTATCCTATATGTTGACCCGGATAACTAGCTATCATCATACCAAATTTCATCAAAATCCCTCCAGTGGTTTTTCCGTGATGCGGTAACAGACAGACAGACAGACAGACAAAAATTCTAAAAACTATAGATTCGGCCTCTGTATCGATAATAATGTTTATTTCAATAAGATTTTCCAAAAAATATTTAATGTACAGGTTCGGCTTAGTTACAATTTTATTATATGTATAGAAAACTATTCACGATTAGTGAAATTATTGTCATTTAATTATTTTACAATGAAAGTAAAGGCGGTAAAAATCAAAGTACTAAAATTCCTAGTGTCATAATATAAATAAGTACATATGTCATATATAGGTACATAAAGTATAATTGTTATTTATTTAGCTTAAGATTTAAAATAAAATTGATAACCGAGTTGCGATGAATAAATAATATGCTAGCATACCTAATTATCATGACTAAGTAGACAGAATCTATCTCTAACAAGGTCCGAGACGACGGCGAATATCTTAATTATTGGATGTAACGTGATCCTCGGATGTTCACATATCGGATGATCTTCTAAATCGTGTCTTTCGTTACGAAGCGTGTCTTTGACTAAGAGTCATCCATTCACGCCAATACTCTAACAAATCGAACACTCATCACCTTTTTTCCGTGCAATACGATACTCTATCGTTTATAGACGGCGCTTTATCCCAAACCAGTTCCAAATGGAGCCGAGACATCAACTTACGAGGGAAATATCTAAAGTCGAGGTGACAATTGATTATGTGTCCGGTGGAGACAAAAAGGAGAATAGGTCGATTAGTTATGTCGTCCTGAGACGTAGGCCGCAGGAGACAATAGATTGGTTCTACTTTATGATTCTATAAACGTTTATGTCCCTATAAACGGCATTTTAGCTTTCGGTCCAAGATTGTGATGTTATCACTTTTTCAGACAGGTTTATTATAAAATTGCCCTGAGATATAAAAATTGCATTGAAGTGCAATAGTGTTGCTTTTGAGTGTTGATACAATGTTCATTCTTCGTTATTTTTTTGTGTCTGAAAACGATGCGGGTTTTGTTTCGTTTATGGCTCAATTAGATAGCTTTGTAGTTTTCTGATATAGCACTTTCAAAAACATTGCCCTAGCATTTTACAAAGATTTTATAAAGACAATAAAATCGGAACGCTAAGCACAAATCTATACATATAATAAAATTATAACTAAGCCGAATCTGTACATTAAATATTTTTTGGAAAATCTTATTGAAATAGACATTATTATCGACACAGACGTCGAATCTTTAGTTTTTAGAATTTTTGTCTGTCTGTGTCTGTCTGTCTATCACCGCATCACAGAAAACCCACTGGAGGGATTTTGATGAAATTTGGTATGGTGATAGCTGGTTACCCAGGTCAAGATATGGGATTCTTTTTACCGCCGGAAAATATCTCATTTCTGAGAAAAAAATACAAAAACTGCATTGTAAGAATATACTAATATGTAAAACCTAAGAATTTGGTTTTTAATCATCTGAACGCGAGCGGAGCCGCGGGCAATTTTTATAATATTTTCACTAAGTTGAACTTAACAAGAGGTATAATACTTTAAATATAATATTATTCAATGAAAAATTTAAGCTGTGGAGAGTGACGTGTAGGTGTAGGTAGAGGCATCATAATAATATGTATAATAAAAAAACCGTTATGTTATAAACAAATAAAGTACTCGTTTGTTAATTATTTGCTTGAACTTGCTTTAAACAAACACATTTACATACATACATAATATATTTAAATGTTATTTTGACTTGCAATTCTAGTGTAGAAATACATACATATATAGTGCCAGGGAATTTTAAAATAAGCTAATATTGTTTGCCTAATAGTTATAATTTTGATGAAATCATTATATGTATTATTATTGTGTAGATTAAATTCAATTATTTTTTTAAATTAAATTTAATCTATGATTTGTCTAAAGACTCTAGATTATTTGAAGAAATTCTAATCCAAAAATCACGTAACCTATTTATTTTATTGCAATTTTAGTTCACGTCTGATGAACAAAAACCATAAGATTACTAAGTTTCTGAATGTTTTTTGAAAATAAAAACTCGTAATCGCTCTACTGTGAACTGTGAAATCACACGAATTGACTTCAATGAATTGTCGTTTTTAGTATCGTTTTAGTCAATAATATTTATAAGAATCATATATTAGAGCGTATTGTTCGTTATTATGGCGAAAAATTAGTATTTATTCCACTCAAAAGTATTTGCTATCGATTTTTAGATTAAATTCAAATCTGATATTAAATTTTATAGTAAGCACTTTAGCTTCACATGGTTGATTTTAACAGAGATTGAATTTACAACTGCGTAGGTAATTGTAATCTCGAAATATCTTGACGACAGCGAATTATTGATAAGTCTGCTTCGTATACTTTTGTTCGAATTATATTTGGTTGCGTATTCATTTTAAATATTAGATATTGATTTGTCTTATAAAATATATAATTTGTGTCTATTTTTGACTGACTATCCAAAGAGAATGATCTTAATTTTGATGTATATTTTTGTGTGTATGTGTGTACGGGATAAATCATTGTGTTAATTGTGAATTATTTATTTTGTTAGTTGATTATTTTATCTTAAGTGTGGTGACATATGGATCTAAAGAAAATTAAATTAAGTTTCATATCGTTTATCAAAGTCAGTCAGTCAGTTTTTAGTTATTATAACTACGACTCTCGTACTTTACCCTCAGAATACAGAACAAATCTGTATTCTGAGATTTTACCTTTCATAATATCATTCAATATTTCATATTTGTTTCGATTAATATATAATGTATTATTTTAATTATGAATAGTCCTGTTATACTATAGTGGCAAAATTGTTTAACGTAGTATATACATATATATGTATATATATGTATTCATTTATATTTACTTGCCCAATGCTCAAGAACCGCCATGGTAATTATTGAAGCGCAGCTGTTTCCGCCGTTCGGTGGGTGGAGTCAGTTTTTTTAATATACTACGACCATTGGTAGAAGATACGGAGGAATTACTTTAAATTCGCTGGGGACGTGTTGAAGTCGAAGAATGTCACGCATATGTTCTTGGCTGGAATGAGCTCGTTAATT